TCCTGGAGGCAGCCGAGACCTCTCTGCGCTACCAGGCCTGGGGGCTCCTCACCCTCTGCCTGGATGTTTTCACCCATGGCCTGACCCCAGAAACTGGCCTGGATGTGCTGGCCTTTGCTGTGGCTTACGGGCTGACCCAGGTGGGCCGAGTAGCAGAGGACTACATCTTGGCCACCTTCCCCAGTGTGGTGGCCACACCGGCCTTCCTGGATCTTCCTGTGCACCTGCTCATCCGCCTCCTCCGCTCTGATGGTCTCAATGTCCTCCATGAACTGGAGGCCTTGGAAGCAGCATCCCGCTGGCTTACGGCCAACGGCGATGGCCAAGAGGATCTAGCCAAGGAAGTCCTATCATCTGTTCGCTTTGCCCTCATGTCTGGCCGGGAGCTGAAGAAGGTCCCATCAGTGACTGCAGGGGTAGCTGACCCAAAGGTCCTCCGTGAGCTCATGGCAGCAAGTTTGGCCCCCATGGCCCAGCTGCCATGCCGAGTGCGTTCCTCGCAAGAGGTGCTGGTGGTTTGTGGTGGAGACAAACTGACGACCAACCTGGCTGCCCGGAAGCCCAGCAGACAGCTCTGGTTTGCCCACCGCTACCTCAGTGCTGTGGGGCTGGTGAAGCAGGTAGAGTGGCGGGCACTGGGACACTTTCCTGATGGCCCACGCTTCCGCCATGCTGTAGCTGTGGTGGGCAACATCCTCTACATCCTAGGTGGAAAGCGCTACTATGGGGCCCGTGACACCCTAGCCAGTGTCTACAGGTGAGAGCTACAGAGGACCTGGAGGTGCCATGTGGCACCAGGACATTGTGGGATCAGAGGAGGTGTTGGTGGAGCTTGAGCTGCTCCATGGACCCAAGGCACTGTGGCATGGCAGTTGGTCAAGTGGCCCCAAGGCATTCTGGGATTAGTTGGGTGTAGGACTGGGAGGTAGCCTCCCACTGTGGGATGTTAGAGGCTTTTTGGGGGTAGGGTGGGGAGGCTCCTATCTGGACATGCCTCAGGGCATTATGGGTTTGGTGTTGCCCAGAAGGAGGGGATATTCCCATGCACGGGGACCATATGGCCCCAAGGCATTATGGGATTGGCTGGTTGTAGGTGGGTTGTTGACCTCAGCGGTGCCAACATCACCTCATTCTCTTGCCCCTCACCTCTCAAACCCAGATATCAGCCTATGGACGATTCCTGGAAGCTCCTGGCCAGCATGACCTGTGGGCGGAGCTACTTTGCTGCTGTGGCACTTGGGGATTTCATCTATGCCCTGGGGGGCAGCTCAGCGGACCTCTACTGCACAGACACTGTGGAGTGCTATGACCTGGCCAACGACACCTGGAGGTGAGAGACCGCTCCTTGTTGACACCTGCTTTCCTCTGCCCTAGGAGCCCTTTGCATTGGCAAAGACCATTGGGTCTTTGGGTGACTGAACCAATGGAGAATGGGCCTACAGTGGCCTTTGGGAGAGGTCTACTGGTTGTTGAGCAATCATGTCCCTTGGGGGTCATTGGGTGTTGGCCAGTGTTGCTTATTGGGTGGTGAATGAGTTTTTGGCCAATAGTACTCACTGAGGGTCTGTTGACCATCTGCCAAGGGGAGGAATCATTTAAACACCTTCCAGCTTTCACTGGGTGCTCTGTTGGGTGTTGGCCAATATTGTCCATTGAGGGAGTCCACTGTGCGTTGACCAATTGTGTCTTTTGGGGTCTACAAAGTGTTGAACAGTGATAGCCCTTGGGCATCCATTATGTATCAGCTGATGCTGCCCACTGGGGCTCATTGGGTGTTCGCCAGTGTTGCCTGCTGAGTGGTCAATGGAGCCATGGCTCACTGGGGAACTCCTGGGCTGGCAGTCACCATGGGGCAGCCCTGCGTAACCTGTCCTTCACCCCCTCTTTTTGTCCTTGCTCAGGAGGTGCCAGTCCCTGCCAATGGCTCTGTGTGGGCACGCGGCGTGTGCCCTGGATGGTGCCCTTTACGTGTCAGGGGGATGTGATGAGGCATGCCAGTGCCAGGCATCCTTGCTGCGCTACATCCCGGGTGCACCTGCCACGCTGCTGGCTCCCATGAACGGCCAGCGAGCTGGCCACATCATGGAGGAAGCAGGTGGGCAGCTCTATGTAGCCGGGGGGCTGTGTCAGCGGGAAGGACAGACTGGCTACAGGGACCAGCTGGCCTTTGAGGTCTACAGCCCCAAGCTGGATATCTGGGTCCTCCTCAGCCCCATGCCCCATGCCCATGTAGTTGCGGGTGCAGCTGTGCTGGGAGGTGAACTGCTTGTACTAGGAGGGTACAGTCATGAGACCTACCAGGACACCCACTTGATCCACGCCTACCAGCCAGGCACCCGGCGCTGGATCACCCGTGGCACCTTACCCCATGCCTATACTGACCTCCAAGCCTGTGTCCTCACTGTACCCCCTGCCTTGCGGGGCCCCACCTGCCTTGAGGACCCTTCAAGATCACCTGAAACCCCCAATAATACTTAGGGGGCCTTAAAAGCTCTGCACCCCATATTGATCTCCCCAGGTAGCATCCATGGCCATCTCTATGGGACAAAACCCACCCCTTCCCCCCATCCTTCCTCCAGAATGGGTTCCTCATGTGGTTTCTGGCAAACCCCTGCCCAGGGTACATGCCCTAGACTGTGGGGATCCTGTGGGACACAAAGACTCCCCACACTGCAACCCTGTGCCTCCAGGATACTCACTCCCCTGGTCTGATCCCTTCACTGGGAACTAGGGATCCCCAAATTTCCCCCCACACCTGGGTTGAATAAAAGTGGCTCCTGAACTGCTCATTTGGATCTTGTTTTTTCTGCTGGGGAGCCTGGACATCCAGGTGCTTCTCACAAGGAACAGGAGGAGAGCAGAAGACCAACAGCCTGAGTGTCTTGGATAGGTGGTGGTGGGCACCAGGAGATGGGTGGAGGGCACTGAGTGCCTGTATTCATTGGGCATGAGAGAGGGAGGGGTGTGTGTCTCAGGATTGAGAGGCATCTTGGGGTGCATGGGGGACCCTGAGGGAATAAGAGAGTCCTGGGGGTGCCAGGGTTTGGGGGGTGTAGATGACAGGGTAGATAGGGCGCACTGGGAGGTCCTAGGGGCTTTGGAGTTCCTAGGTGGTTCTGGGAGGACTTGGCTTCCTGGAGTGACCTGGAGTGCTTGTGTGGAGAGGTGGGAGAATCCTAGGGAGGACTTGCAAGGAGAGGCAGAGGTAGTGGGGATTCTGGGAGACTCCGGGATAGCAGTGGTACCTTTGGGGAGGGAAGTGGGGGTCCTGGGATGTGTAGGGGAGGGTTGCATGTTCTCGTGGCTCCCCAAAACAGTATTTTAGGTGTCATCTAATGAGTGCTGAGCAGAGGAGGATAACCGCTTCCCTTGGCCTACTGGCTACGCCCCTGTTAACCCCACAAGGCTTCTGTTGCTCTCTCTTTGCTGCCAGGGTGCACTGCTGGATCTTGTTCACCTTGCTGTCAACCAAGACACAGATCTTTTTCCATAGCTCTGCTCCCCAGCAAATCTGGCCCCCACTGGCACTGTTGTGGTCTTCCTTCCAGGGTAGGACTTTGCATTTGTCCTTGTTGACTTTCATCAGGTTTCCATCAACCCATTTCTCCAGGGTGAATGGTGCTCCCTGAATGGTAGTCCTGTTGGAAGCATACTAACTGATCACTCCCAACGTGGTGTCATCTGCCAACACGATAAAAGCATGCTCAGTCACCTCCTCCATGTCACTGATAAAGACCTTGAACAGAAGAGTTTCCAGCACAGCCCCACGCGGTACTCCACATGTTACCAGCATCCAAGTAGAGTATGATCCATTAACCACCTTCACACCACTTTTTACCTGTCCATTCTCCAGCCATTCAGAGCTCGATGGCATGACATTCTGGGAGAAGTGTCCAAAGGAAGTCAAAGCTCCTGGAGAGGTGAGAGCTGATGCATGCTCTCATGCAATTCCTACGTGACCATTCTCAGGTGCTTCCATGGTCTCTAACACATCAATAGCCCCTGAGTCTGTATGGCTGCATGGTTCTCCATCCCCTACCTCCACCAAGACGGCAGACCGAGGACCTTGCTAGTACACCGTCCCTCAAACATTGACGTGCTGCCTCCAGGCTCGTCTCTAACGAGACTGATTTTATCTCTTCCCCCCTTCAAATCTAGTTTAAATGTCTTTCAATGAGCCCTGCTAACTCGTATGCAAAGATCCTTTCCCCCTTTGAGACGGGGGTACCCCATCTGGTGTTGTGTAGAACGACCCATGATCAAAAGCTCAAGATTCTGCTGGTGACGCCAGGCTCGGCGCCAGGTATTGGTCTGCTGGGTCTCCCTGTTTCTTCCCTCGTCATTCCCTGCAGCTGGAAGGACAGAGGAGAACACTCCCGGTGCTCCTGATCCCTTAACCAGTCATCCCACGGCCCTGAAGTCTCTTGATTGCCATCAGACTTCTTGTTACAACTTCATCGCTGCCTGCCTGAAAAAGCAATAATGGATAATCGTCTGAGGGCTGCACTAGCGTAGGAAGTTTTCCCTTCACGTCTTTAACCCAACCCCCAGGGAGGCAGCAGGCTTCCCCAAGAAGGGGGTCCTGTCTGCGTGTTGGGCCTTCTGTTCCCCTCAGGAGAGAGTCTCCTATGACAACAACCCGTCTTTTTTTCTTTATGGAAGCAGTTTTGATGCAGGGCGTAGGCCAACTTAACCTCGGCGACACCTCCAAGCTAGATGAACCATCTCCTCATTATTGTTGGGTTCCCCTTGCAGAGCCTCGTACCCGTTACCAAGGGCCCCTGGGCAGGTGGGGCAGTCCCAGAGGAGACGGACCTGCTGCACTGGGCAGGAGCTGGTCGCCATTGCCCCCATCCCTTAAGTCACGGCGTTAGGCCAGGTCCTGTCTGCCTGTCGGGCCTGGCCCAGGAAAATGTTGTCCCAGAGTGTTGTCCCAGGAAGGAAGGAGAGAGTATGGTTTGGTAGAGGGCAGCACCAACACACAGACAAATACTTGCTTACAAATGCAGTGCTTGCATGTCCGCAGACGCACTAGCACACGTCAGCCTGACTAGCACACATGCTTGCGTAGAAGGATGCTCACCCCAGCTCGGGCACACGTACCCTTCTGTGGACCAACGAATTAATCTGGCAGGAGGCCTGCTGACCCACAGCTGCGTGATACATTTGGGACAGTTTGAACTGGAACAGTGTTTGAGACTGCAAAAGTTGATTCATATAATCTAGTTGCTGCATTTGTGCATCAGTGCCAGGGCATGCAGTTTGAGCCTCGCCAATGACAACTTTTGCCTCCTTCTCACACCTCCCAAAATGTTTGAGTGACTTCTGCACAGCTGGTCACAAAGTTTGGCCAGCCCCTGGACACTCTGTCCTAGTGTGATCCCTTACGAGTCACATCTATCGCCCTCCGAAGCCTCCCACCCTCCTCTCCCATTTCCAGCCATCCCTCGATGGATCATGCAGAGGCATCGACATCAACCATGTCCTGAACTTATTACGTGATTCAATCCCATAGGGAAGGATCACACAATTGAGGCAAAAGTCAGGAAGCTGGGTTTGAGTGGATTTTTCCTCTCTATCTTCACTTTACAAGCACTGAAGACAATTTTGTCATTCGCTGTACCCTGCTGGGACGATGGGAGGTCCAATGAAATGAAACTAACGCCCATTTGAAATGCAGGCAAAGAGAATATTTATTCTGTGATTAACTACCTGGCACTGAGTTGAAAGCATAGCGCATCTTTATGTGCATCATTAGAACAGAAGCAGTTGGGACATCTAGTACAAACGTAAGCTCTGCTTTCCCACACTCACTCCGAAACCAGGCAGTGGCAGCCCCAGAGTATCACTGACAAGTTTAGGACATCTCCTCCCCCTGTCAAGTACCCAAGTAATTATTGTAGATCAAGAAACCTCAGGGGGTGTGAGAGCGATACTAGAGGAAGGAGCTGGCTGGCTTCCCCCAGGCAAGCAGATCTTTCCCTTGTAGAACACAGGTATGTGAAGCAGAGCCATGACCCTCAGTCTCTTTCTCTGAATGGACAGAAGCATTTACAAGGTGTTGCCAGCATATTTCACTCTCACATCACCAATGGCCTTGACACCCCTGTCCAGGCTGTAAGCAGACGGGGTCCTCAGGGAACCAGGGTTTGGGACCATCATCTTCCTGGAGAAAGACTTGACCGAAGCATTCAGAGGACTATGGTGGACCCACAGCTCCTTTGTGGTGCGGAAGGAGGAACTTGCAGGAGGACGGTGCTGTATCACCAGGTCTTTCATCGTGCAGTAAGTGACCTCAGGGCACAACTCAACTTCCTTGATGGTACAGAATGTGGGGCGCTGGAGGGGGCTTTTGAAGCTGCTGAGATGCATCTCAGGGCTTCCTGTTGACTCCCTCCACCTCAGCAGCGGATATTGCACATCTTGGGTCTGCAGGGACTTGTGCCAGGAGGGCCGTCCCACCAGACACATCCACACCAGCCAGCCTGCTACAGCCAGCACGGTCAGGACCAGCAGAGCCAAGGAGGCCAGGTAGAGCACCCAGTGCAATAGGCAGCAGTGCCTCAGCACCCACTGCCCCCACTGTGGACCCTCCCCACCTGCCCACGAGCGCAGCACAGGTACAGCCAGTCCTGGGGCAGAGCATGGGCAGAGGGGGAGAGATGCAGGTGGAGGGGAAGGTGCAGGCTGGGTAAAGCGTGTGGTGTCCAGGGGAGGTGGTGGTGTTGGGGCATGAGTGGAAAGCATCCTGGTGGAGACCACTGGCATGGTCGATGTCAGAGGAGGACGTGAAGATCTGACAGTGTAAGAGGCCTCTAGCATGGCAGTAGATGGCACTGCCGTCGAAGTGGTGGAAAACGTGCCAGTGGGCACCGTGAGAGTGGCATAGGTGTTGGTAGTGCCAGCGGTGAGGGTGGTTTGGGGATGGCTGCTGGTGCTGGGAGGTCTGGTGCTCATGGTGGTTGGCAGTGAGGTGGTAGAGATGAGGGTGGTGGGTCTGTGCGGGGTGCTGGCAGGAGCAGCGGTGGTAGTGCTGGGGGTCTGTGTGGGTGTGACGGTGGGACTGGCTGGCACAGAAGTGGTGGTACTCGGAGCTCTGGTGCTTGTGGTCATCGCAAGCGAAGTGCTTGGGGTGAGGGAGGAGGTACAAGGGGTGCTGAGGGGAGGTGCTGTGGTAGTGAGGGGAGGCCAGGTAGCAGCATGGGGCATGGTAGTGTGCTCTTTGGGAATGGATGGCTGTGGAGGGAAGAAGGTGATCATGGTAGCTTTCTCGCTTGTTTCTTCCTCATCATCGTATTCATCCTCTTCCTCTTCACCTGCATCCCCAACGTTGCCACAGTTGGGCTTGAAGCGGATGATGGGCTTCCGCTGATGCTCGGCGGGGCTGTGGCACAGCACCTTCTCGGGGGCGACCTCCACCTTTGTCTTCTCCAGACCGCGCTCCGGCTGATAGACACTGTCATCATTCATCCGGATCCAGGCCCGCAGATAGCGCAGGTCGCAGTCGCAGTGCCAGGGGTTCTCAGTGAGGAAGACGTACATGAAGATGTGCCCCTCAGGGAAGAAGTCGGTGGGCAGGGTCCGCAGACGGTTCCCTGAGAGCCAGAGGGTCTCCAGCTTTTGCAGATCCTGCAGCAGCTCCTTGGGGAGCTCCTCCAGGAGGTTGTCCGAGAGGTCCAAGTCCTTGAGTGCCTTCAGCCCTGCAAAGACCTCCCGGGGCAGTGTCCGCAGCCGGTTCCCTCGCAGGTCCAGGTCCTGCAGCCGTGGCACAGAACGGAAAGCCCTTGGGGCCAGTGTCACCAGGCTGTTGTGGGCCATGGCCAGGCGGGTGAGCACAGGCAGGCCCTGCAGGGTGGGCAGGGCTGCCAGCGCGTTGTGGGAGAGGATCAGCTCCTTCAGGGATGGCAGGTTGGGTCCAGTGTGCAGAGCCACCAGCCTGTTGTCAGACAGGTCAAGGTCCTGCAGTTGGGTGAGGGGCAGGAAGACAGCGATGGAGAGCGATGTCAGGTGGTTGGCATTGAGCAGCAGGATGCCTGTGCCCTCAGGCAGGTCTGGGGGCACCGTGCTGAGAGCCTGCCCCGTGCAGTTCACCTCCAGGAGGTCCTTGACCTTGTTCATCTCTGACGGGCAGGGCTGGCCTGGGTTGCTAGTGCCAGCTAGGGGCACCAGGGCTGGGAGGATGAGCAGGAGCATGGCAAGGACCAGCATGGCCTGGAAGGGAGAGCCCAGAGGCATGGGCAGAGGCAGGCACGCATCTACATGTCACCTTTCTTCCCGCGCAAGCACCGTTCGCAACAGAGCTGCGTTTCCCCGCCAGACCCTCTGGGAGCCCTCTGAGCCCCACAACTCCTCCCTGGGAGGATGGAAAGGAGAGATGAGTCCCACACCTACTGCCAGCACCCACCCCATCATCTCAGCCTTGGAGGGCAGTAGGCCTCAGCAAGGAGACACCATCTCAGCTCTTTTGATCACCTCATCCTCCTCCATGCAAGGGAGAACCTGATTCATGCATCTCCTTCCAGTGGTGCCGCCTCCGCCCAGGTGGCACTGCTGCCCTCATCACTGCACAAGCAGTGGCTCTGCGATGTTCACGTCCCTGCATACCCACACCCAGCCCAGCCCAGACAAGCCATGTGCTGGAAGAGGCTCCCTGAATATGCGCTTACCCAATGCCAGCTGAGCCCGCTGCTAGATCAGGGTTCACAAGGTAGGGGCATGAATTATGTGAAAAGAGTTTCCCATGCACAGACCTTGCTACCCCAAACGCCCAGCTCCCGATGGACACTGCTTCCCTGGGACTCACCCATGGACCGTCCAGCATTTGCTCTCCTGCCGCTTTGCCTCCCTCCTGCCCAAGGACCGGGTGCTGCTCCAGTGGCAGCGCTAGCAGTGGGGCTGCCCGGGCCTTCTATCAGCACACACAGCTGTGGGAAGGGAGCTGTGGCTTCCTGAGCAGCCAAACCCACCTCCTGTCCTTCGGCACAGCCCTGGCTTTAACTGCGGTGTCACACCACTGGCTCCTTGGAAAAGTCTCGACCAGAGACAAGCTCCATAATTTCTTGCTTCTGTGCAGTAAAGGAAGAAGGGTTGCACCCAGGAGGAGCCCTTGCATGCCCCCCCTGCGCCCCAAGCTGCACCTTTTTTACATCCCGGGAAAAGGGTCCTTTGCACAAATGGCTGCCCCTTCCTCTCCTTCAAGGCAGCTCTTTCTCAGCAGGCTCTGGGTTTTGATCCTTGAGGCACCTCAATCTGGGGACCACAGCCTAGTTGCCATACCAGTGAGAAACAGTTTCTGCACATTACCTCAGCCAGTTGTTTGTGGTGTAGTCGAGGGATCCTTTCTTGCCGGCTTGCCATGAAAAAACAGGGATGGTTCTTCTGGAGCGCAAGAGGCAGCTTTCGCATTTGTGGGAGAAGCCACAGCACAGACCAGGCAAGGAGATTAGAGGCAGAGGAAGGAGCTCAGTTTTTCAGTTCCTCCTGCTGTCTGTTCCTGCAGCCGAGCTGTCTCCACTGCCCTGGCCCATAGGTCACTGCAGAGCATCTCGGACTGCAGGGCTGGAGGGCCACTCGAAAGCTGCAAAGAGAGATGCTACAGAGGAGGGGGGATATTGGTTTCCTACTGGTTTTCCATTCTGTGGATTGTGATGGGTCAACCCCAGCCAGCAGCTAAGCACCCACCAGCCACTTGCCCGCTGGTTCTATAGCAGGATGGGAGAGAGAACTGGAAAAGCATCGAGAAAAAAACCTTTGTGGGTGAAGGTGAAGATAGTTTAACAAGTGAAGGAAAGAGAGAGAAAAGTGATGCACCACCTCCCACCAGCAGATCGATGCCCAGCCAGTCCTTGAGCAATGGTACCTTGGAAAAACTTCCCTCCCCTGCAGTTTCATCACTGAGCATGATGCTACAAGGTATGGACTATCCCTCTGGTCCAGTGGAGTCAACTGTCCCTCCTGTGTCTTCTCCCAGCCTCTCCTTCACCCCCAGCCCTCTCACTGCCAGGGCATTTTAGTTCCTCTTGTAGTAAGAGGGCTGGAGGCAGCAGCACAGGCAGAACTTGGGGGGCTGTTTTTTGGCTCTGCATCAGCAATTTCTAACAGAAAGCAGGGGATAGGAAGGGAGCAAGCAAAATGTAACCCTGGCCTTCTCATAGGGACCCAAGGATTAAGCCTACATGTGGTTTCCCCTCCTCCACAGAACTACTCTTACCCTCACCCTGAACCTACAGCGTCCCCCATGACACCACCAGTCAGTCTTCCATACCACAGCCTCACGTTCCCAACTCACAGCCCTTATCATTGCTTCTGCCTCTCTGTCTCCCTTTTCCAGGTGGATGAACACACTAGGACACTTTGAACCTTCAAAAGGTCCTTCACCTCACCTGCTTCACTCCCTGAAGGGGAAAGAGCAGAAGACCCCAGCAGTCCACTGCGACAAGCCTTGCTGAAGGGCAAGGGGCACGCCCTACCAGAGGAAAGGGGTGCTCAGGTCAGGAGTCATCTGCAGGCACACTCTTCCCATGGCTGGTTACGAGCAGTGAGGAGGAGGCCAGGAGAGATCCTGGGGTCCTGACATCCAGGAGGGGAGAGCAAAGGAGCAGGGATGGTGTCTCCTTGCTGAACCTGCTTCCCTCAGGTGAAGGCACGAGGGAGATGAAGGTTACGTCAGCCATCCTGCTAGTGATGATGCTTTTGCCCCACATTTGCAGTCCACTCTTTCATTTCTGTCCTAGGTTCACCTTTGTGTCCAGCCTGTCAGCTTCCCTGCCTGTTCCCACACCCTGGGGGCTGGTTTCCCATGAGGTTGTCGTCCCAACCTTGATTTCACCTGCAGACCCTTTCGAGTGGGTGTTTGGAGGGAACAAAGTGATCCAGGCTGTTTCCCGCTTCCTTTAGCACCTCACCAACACCGTATGTGACTCTGGGAAATAGGAAGGACATCATGAGGTGATGGTGTCCAAGGGTCATAGAAACATGCAACTGCATCGCCCTTGGCTTGAGGAGCATGGTGCTCCTTCTCCAGTGCAGAAAGCAGTGTCTGTATCTTCACCTTCCCACCAGCCTCTTTTAGGGACACAACCATCTAACCACTCTTCAGAGCCCTGGCAGCAGGGACCACCCTCATGCTGCTTGTCCCTATGGACTTGTGACACTGTTCACGGGGGGCTTTGGAACGCTCTGTCACTGAGTCCTTTGACAAGCCCCTTGGCGCCTGCAGGCCTCACAGCTGATTTGGCATCTGCTGCATTGTGTGGGCTTGTGCACAGGCAGGAACAAAGCTGAGACATGACTACCAGCCTCTGGGGGCATTACTCCTGGGGGCTGGACAGACCTGGAGAGAAAGGTGAAAGCCCTAAATAGCATCTCTGAGCTGTTCCCTTTGGGCTCCTCCATGGTGGGAGGATGGAGCTGCCTTGGGCTGCGCATGAACAGACCTACCCTCGCACATGCACAAATGCATCCTCTTTCATTTCCGAGAAGCCCATGAATTCAGCAGTAATGGTGAAGCCTTCCTTTGGGAAGGTCCATGCTTGCTGGACATCTGTTGAATGGATGATCTGGTAGAAAGCATGTCTGGCCTCAGAGGAAGCACGTACTTCTATCCTCTCCTTGCAGGTGGCAGTTTCCACTTCGGAAAAATAATCTGGAATTGCCCAATATGAGATGCCCTTCTTCTTACTAATTTTTGGTTTCTACAGCTACATTTCAGCCCACATGGGACATTCTGAGCCCGCTCCAGGCTCCTCAGCACTGTAAGCAAAAGCAAAAGCAGAAGCAGCTTTTCCTCCCCCAGAACAAATGGTCAAAGGTGGGATCCATCTTGCAGTGTTAGATGTCTCTGGTCGTCACCTGGGCTTGTGTTGCAGGCAGGCGCGGGGACAAGCACAGCCATGGAGTGATCCCACTGACACGCCTTTGTTGTCTCCTGGATGCCATGAACCATTTTCTCAAAAGTGCCCCACAGGCTCAAAGGAGGTGGAGACCAAGCCTCAGACACAGACATTTGGTGCTGACGCACATACAGACAAATCCCACTGAAGTAACTTTATTCTGTACATTTAAAAAGTGATCTCTGTTGCAAGAGTGTCTTTTCAGTGGAACTGTTGCACAACAAGTGGAGAGCAAGAATGAGAGGCGACAGTCACGAGTTGCAATTGGGGAAACTCTGACCAAACATAAACGGTTAATTCATCCCCTTGAGAGAGGTGCAGTACTGGGACAGAGGTCCAAAGAGGTAATGAGATCTCCTCCCTTGGAGATCCTACACAATTCAGCTGAACAGGGTCCAGAGACACCTAAGGCAGCTTTGAGGTTAGCCCTGTTGCGAGCACAAGTTCCTTCCAACCTAAATCCTTGTGTGAGTCTGAACTCCTGAGGTGCCCTAAAAAATCTGCCTCTTACTCCCTCCCTTTCATCAGGGCCACATTTTGAGCCACGTCCCAGGACCCAGCCAGACCCAAGGGTGCACTCTTATCCCCTCAAATGATGCCAGTGGAAACGTGAAGATGGGAATCTCCTTGTCAACACTGAAAAATGCCACCCGTCCCTCTTCATAATCCAGAGAGACCCGGATCCGCTTGGGAGTCTGGATTTCAGGAAGGAGAGTGTGATTAGGGGATGTGAGAGCTTGGAAGTGCCCTGCCCACAGCCCCACTGCCCAGATGCCCTCCTCCGGTTTAATCTCAATATCGCCCTTCCTCTTCACATCTTCTCTACAGACCCCCACAGTCCATCCTCCTCCATCCACCGTCTCCACCTCCCAGTAGTATCTCCCCGAGGTGAAGCCTTCACGGCCCAGCACGCAGCGCCAAATTTTAAATCTCTCAGGGATGTCAGGGACGTCCTGCCGTGTGTCTTCTCGTTTCACACTTTTGCAGTCGTCAGACAGGACAAGGTCGCAGTGGGCTGTGTCTGGATCCAGAACCACCTTCACTGCAGGAGAGATGGAGTCAGCACATCAGGGCAGACCTCACTCCAGGAGAGATCTTTGCTGGGGCTACACAAGGAAGAATAAAAAGGGTGCAAGCGATAGCTGGCAGACTGGCATGGGAAGCTGCACAAGGTAATAATCTCATAGAATGCTTTGGGTTGGAAGGGACCTTTAAAGGTCATCTAGTCCAACTCTCCTGCAATGAGCAAGGACATCTTCAACTCCATGAGGTTGCTCAGAGCCCCATCCAGCCTATCCTTGAATGTTTCCAGGGATG